TTGGGTGCACCCAGGCACACATTTTGCTGCCTCTTGAGGTTATTTGTGGACTATTAATATTTTCAAAAGTTCAACAAACTTGAATACAAAAGTGATAGAAAAGGAACTATTTACCAGCCACAGACTACCTACACATATGTAAAACTGGTGAGAAAAATCTGACTCAAAACACTGGCTTGGGGGAAAAAAGATTTTGAAAGTTCATCATTATGAAGATGTGACAGCTATAAAGATATAGCCAGAGTGCCACATGTAAATGGTCAACTTAGAAAAGACAATTACAGCAAATTTTATTCCATCTCTCCTAGGCTTCATATACCTATGCAATGGAGCTCTGAACAAGGGTGTGTGTGTGTGTGTGTGTGTGTGTGTGTGGAGGGGGGTTAGTCCTCTTGTTTCAATTATTTGAGAATCTAACACTTGTTAGTCTAGTGTGTGTTTTAGAAATATCATTTTTGTGTGGCTGAACTCTTATCCGAAAAGATACTACCTCATCCATCTTGTCTCTCAACCTACTTTTTTTTTTTAAATGCACACTTTTATAAAGCAAAAGAACTGCTCTAGAAGGCAGTGGTAAAAGTCAATCAACAACTGTAAAAGAAAGTAAGTTCACAGAACTACTGTGTTAACAAAATCTGAATTCAGTTGTAATACAAGTTGTTTAATAGAGTCTGGTTAAGCTTGTCTTCAATTAACTTACATGACAAGGTTACTTACTTGGGTCAAGACATTATCTTGACCACAACAGGGCACTCATTTAAACAGTGTTTACACTGATGAAGTGGGAAGTAGAATGAGAAGACACTTTAGGCCATATTTAAACTAGGAGTATTTTGCCAGTAAAGCAATACTATACCTGCAATGTGTTCATAGTGAGGACACAACTTATACCAGTAAAAAACTGTGCTTTTCCCAGTATAGCTTATTCCAGAACCCACCCTCCCCCGCGACCCCCAGGAAAATATGCTACACTGGAAAAGGGCAGTTTTGCTGGTATAACTGCAGTTTCATCAGGGGCTTTTGCCAGCACAGCTATGTTGGTCAGAGATCACACCTCTTCACACCCCTGACAAACACCGATATGCTGGTAGAAGTCTGAATCATAACCATGGCCTTAATAAAATTTTGCAAGCATATTGATGAATGCTTGCATTAATGAACTCATTAATGAATACCAAGATGCACGTACAGTCAACATAACAAAGTTGCTACATTTACTGACTCAGCCCTACACTGACCCTTGACATCAAAGATCACCCAGTTAAAGTATTGAATCCCATAACAAAGATCAAATAGACAGGATGTACCTCAGGAGCATTAAGGCAATCCACTTCCAATAACTGTCAGAGTACCAAGGGCCTGATTCCTTATCAAATTCAGTCCTATAGAAAGTGTGCTCTTCTAACTTGGATTGAATCAGTACTGTAACTCTCAATAAGCTCAGTTCATCCTATAACCCTAACATGCTGGAAATTAAAATTCATAGTTCACATTTTTAGAGTCCGGATACCTGAACTCTTACTCAGCGATCTGATTGGTAAGTATTATTTTCAAAACGCAAGGAACAGACTTTGCAAAGGCTAAAAAACTTTACTGTATATAAAAAGAAAAAAAATCTAAAAGAAAGCATGATCTGAATTTTAATGTTTTCTAGTGTTTCACACTTCTGCAGCACTTATCTACCTATTTTGAGGCTTCAAAGGACTTTGTGAACATCCATGAATATAGCTGATCAAAAGTTGTCAAAATTTTGACAAAATTTTGAACAAACAGGAGTGGGGGGAATTTTGCAAACTTTTAATTAAAGTTTCCCTTGCTTTTTGAGAAGCTTTATTCATGAATAGAGACTCAAAAATCTTATTAAGCAGGTAAATATCCTCATTTTATAGGTGAGGAAACAGGAATAAAGAGATTAAGGGTCAGATCCTTGGCCTCTGGCCACGAACCACACAGCACAAAGGAGGGAGAAGGGCATTAGGTGGTAGATAGGGAAGTGCAGATGGAGAGCTTTACGTGCAATGAATGTTGCACTTCAGAATGGCTATAATGCATGGTGATGGGGGTCGAGTGCAGTGGGTAAGGGTCGTATCTTTCAGGGCTGGGTGGTGAAGCTACAGATGTTGGAGGCAGCTGGTGGCGATAAGAACCCGGATGATGGGGAAAGTGGGTTGGAGGCCGGATGTTGGGGAAAGTGGGTTGGAGGTGGGGGCACCAGGGAAAGAGTTATGGGACAAGGGCTGGGGGGGGAGGGGGAGTGGGAAGAGGAGAGATGGGCAGGTACGGTAGTGCTCCGCCTGCATGGCTACCAGCGCCTGGATCGAGTCCACTTGGCGCTCCATGATGCTTATCAGCCGATCCGTGCCTTGCTGCTGGAGCTTCGCGCTTTTGTGCCTGCGCCCCTCATTCTGCTGGCGGATCCTCCTTTCATACTCCCTCCACTCCTGAGCTTTTAGATTCTCGTTAAGGGACTGCTGCACTACTTCATGCAGCATGTCTTCTTTGCTTCTACGTGGTCTCTTCCTAATTCTTTGCAGTCTTTCGTATGGTGATAACACGGAAGGCTAAGATCTCAAGGTTGCATCTATAAAGGCAAAATGCAACACTTAACAGAGGCAGCATTGTTCACACCAGACAGAGCAATGATCCCCCCATACTTAAGGGCAAGCACAGTCTACACAATAGCATAATTTGCCCAACCCAAAGCGAGTGCACATAACCCACGGGAGCCCCAAAAGGGTGAGTAAGCACAGAGTCAAGGGGAACTGATTGTTTCACGGCTGTACTGTCCTCTGGGTTTCTGTGCCTTGGGGAGAGCCAACAGCTGCAGGGGGCCCCTATACTGAACGCAGTCCCCACATTTTCCACAGAAGTTCATCCTGGAAGATATCTCCCACTGCTGAGGGTGACCTGGGAAGCAAGGGAGGGTCTTCTACTGCAATGCGGCTTCCGCCCTGGCCCATATGCAGCTTGCCTGCATGCAGCAATGGTTCCCTCGCCCCTCGCGGCACAGTGGCACGGACATGTTAGCCTGACTGGGACAAGGACCACAGTGGCTCTCCCGAGAAACCTGCGCAAGCGCATTGCCCAAGTTCTGGCTGAGACCTTTGAAGAAATTACTGGGGCCGATTACCAAGATGTGAGAAAGCACATCAATGCCCTATTCCGCATCTAGGCATGCATGCAGCCCTAACCCTCCTCGCCCCAAGAGCCCACACCGAATAACTTACTTCCCAAAATAAAAGCTGCTTACCATGCACCTCCTCTGGTGTTTGTCCTTCCCCAAGCACCGGCCACCATGACTGGCTTAAAAACAGCTCCTGGCTGTGTGCATCGAGGGATTCCAGGTGTCTTCCTCCTCCTCAGCACCCTCACTCCCGCTTTCCTCCTCCTCCTCCTGCCTTGTTGAACTGGGCTCTGAAGTGTCCATGGTGGTACTCGGAGTGGAGGTGGGGTCGCCCCCAAGTATCACATCCAGCTCTTTGTAGAAATGGCAGGTCGCGGGGGCAGCACTGGAGCGGCGGTTTGCCTCGCAGGCTTTGCGGTAGGCATTCCACAGCTCCTTCACTTTAACCCTGCACTGCAGTGCGTTCCGGTCATGGCCCCTTTCCATCATGTCCCTTGATATCTGCCCGAAGGTATCGTAATTCCTACGGCTGGAGCGCAGCTGGGACTGGACAGCTTCCTCCCCAGAAACACTGATGAGGTCCAGCACCTCGCCACTGCTCCATACTGGCGCGTGGAGGCATGGCCACCTACAAAGATTCACTGAGAGCACTCCACGCCTGGCTTAGCAAACAGGAAGGGGATTTTCAAAATTCCCAGAGAATTTAAAGGCCGGATCTGACAGTCGGTCACCTGAGGGCAGGGCAGTAGAGTTCAAAGTGATGACCAGAGTGGCTAGAACAGGCATTGTGCAGACTGATCAGAGTGCATTAACAGCTCCAGCGGTGGCACATCAAATGTTATTCCACTTGCCGAGGTAGATTACCAGGAGTGTTCTAGCCACGGAGTCAGAGTGCTCTACGTGCCTTGCCAGTGTGGACGCATTGTGAGTTAGCACACACTGGGCTGATTTAATGCACTCTAACTCGCAAGTGTAGCCATGCCCTAAGTTATGTGAAATGCCTAAGGGACCAAAACTGCAGCCAGATAATGGAATAGCATGGGAAGAGGAAGGGACTTTCCTCTAGTTAAGTTTCCTGTGCGGGCAGCAGGAGGTGGCTGGCATAGGAGTCTCTATACCTGCACTGATGCCCCACCCAGGGCCAGATACACAGGCTCTACACCTCAGATTCCAGCAATGATGTGGCACAATGTAACCACATCCAACACCAGGGATCTGCTGTAAATGATTTACTCATCACCACCCAGGAAGTCAGGGGAGAACCCAGGCATCCCCTCCCACCCCACACCATCCCTGAGCCCTGTGCCCTAAGGGACTCTTTACTGTAATCAAGACAGTGTTTGTAAAGCATAACATAATTCTAGTAATATTTTCTGCCAATTCCTTTGCAGTCCATCATGCAATTTTCCCCTTCGGAGCACACCTGGGTCAGTTTCAAATACTTTGCATCCCAAGAACTGCAGCTCCTATTTTCCAGAATACAGCTCCCTTAGAGCACGTTCTCACAGCAAAGACAATTCACTGGCACACTGCATAGGGAAATAAAGGGACTGGGCAGACCACACTATCACAGAAGGTGCTGAGATCCAGAGTTAATACTGAAATGCTCAAGAGTCTCTAGATCATTCCATTACCACCAGCTGGAGATGAGGTAACCTCCTGATAACCAAGGAGATAGGAAAATCCAAAGACCAGCAAAACAAAAAACCAAAAACAAAAAACCATTCTCTACTGCTCTCAAATGTATGTGATCAACAAGTCTTCCATTGGCAAGGCAGCTTTTCAGGCATGCTAACTCAAAGAAACCCTAAATATTCAGGATGCTGGAAAGAAAAAAGGCAAAGGAGGAGGGAGTTGAGAAACAAAGAGCTCTTACGTGTTTAAAAGATCCATGGGGGGCTGCAGTTGCTCCAGTGTCTTCTAGATACTCATCCCAATTGAATTCTGCTTCTTCCACACCAGACCCAGCATCTAGAATAGAACAAACAACCTCAGTCTAGTATCTGACATGGATGTAGTACCTCTCAGAGAGTCTGTTACTTGATTTACGACTTTAACCACCAAACTCTAAATATATTTTTGGTTTCTCTTCATACAACACCTTTTAATACAGTTTCTATTGTGAATGCATTAATGGAAAGATCAAATGACAAGTCTGTGCCCAGTGAAAAGTAACTTGTAAATTGCAAGGGAATCAGTAGCAGCAGGTGTGGATTTATAGAGGGACTGGTAAAAGGTCTATTTAATTAGCTAATAAACTTACTGATCTGCTAGCAATTTTCTAGGCAAGCTTACAAACAGAGCAGATACCAGGAAAAAATTAAAGGGATTCTAAACAAGCTTGATTTTTGTATCACAAACACTAATAAGCAAAGGGGCTGCAGTAGGCACTTTGCAACTGGACTTTACAAAGCATCTGATGAGGTGCTTCAACAAAATCTAATTTGGCAGAGATTCAATCATGGGCTTTGATATGAGCACTGTCAGATGGACTGAAAACTAGCTGGAGAATGATACAGAAGCCATCAGGTAAAGCGAAGTATGAAATGCTCCAGGGCTTGCTGTTACGTCTGATTTTGAACAACATCTTTATCAGTGATTGGGAATTTAGGCAAAAAGGCATCATTTATCAACACTAGCAAGGACAACAGGTTTTCAAATGGATTGAAAAATTAAAATGGAGCTGGGCAAATAATAAAATGGTAATTACTCTTTTCCCTTCAATTAACAGGTACATTTAGGCCAGCTCTAGATAAAAATACCGAGAACGTAAAAGGAGCCTCACTCCATAAAAAAGCCTGGAGAAGGAAATAACCCAAAACATTGATATTCATTCATTTATAGAGTTACATTTACATCTGGCACTATTATGATTACTGCTTTCAAACTACTACGCATTTCTAAAGCACCAACAGTTTACAGACAGAAAAACCAGATGAGAGTTTGCAAAACAAGTATGTACATGTAATTTGATTCTGGGCTGCATGCAAAAGCCGTCATGTGGCAGGGAGGCTACGGGCCCTTTCCATGGGACATTAGTGAAGCAGTACTGCAATACCTAACAGGATCCTGAAAGACTGTTGGGTGATTGGACCTTTGATCCACATGGGTGACCCTAGTCCAACAGTCTAAATTTTTCTAGGATACAAGAGCAGACATGGAAGGGTTCAGTGTACAGGACATGGAGCGGGGCTCCAGAATAGCTGCAGCACTAAAATGGAAAACAACAAGCATAGTTTGTAAACTAAGGCCACTTTTACTTCCGAATGAGAGCATTTAAATTCACAGCATTAGTTAATCTAGCTTAATTTTCTTGAGTGTAGACAAGCCCTCAACTAAAAGTGTCCTTCACTTTGGACTGTTTGGTATACCTCAGAGACACAAGGTGGGTGAGGCAATATCTTTTATCAGTCCAACTTCTGAGAAAAACTTTCAAGCTTACACAGAACTGACCTGAAGAGCTGTGTAAGCTTAAGGGTTTGTCTCTCTCGTCAACACAAGTTGGTCCAATAAAAGATACTACCTCACACACCTTGTCTCTCTAACATCTAACAGTTACAACACTGCAAACAACAAAGTGGTACGCCTCATGCAAGGGAAGATCTGGAGTGTTTTGTTGGTGTACAGGCTGTTCACATCTTTGGCAAAGGAGAGTTCATACTGATGCAGGCACTCAGAACAAGACAGAATTCTAGATGCATCCAGCCTTAATGATGTCAAGTTAGGGAGTATTCAGAAGGTAGCAAGACAAGTGATGAATGGTCTTGAAAGGAAAGATTCGAAGACTGAAATGAATATTGATTGAGTAAACAGTGGCTGAAGAGGGTAAGGGGAGGGAGAAGCACCAAGGAAATGTAAGTGTGTCAACACCAAGGAGAGAGAAGAAAGGAATTAGAGTGGTTTCAAGGGAGCATGGCTTGATACACCATCCAAGATGAGTCACAGGAAACACTGCCTAGTCATGAAGTTTGTTTGACAATGGAACGGCATCTTCAGAGAAGCAGGGAAGTCCCATTGCTAGAGGCATTTTAAAACTAGAATGGGCAAGAGACACTGGAGTACTTGTAACGAACACTGCACTGGTAAAGGAATGACAAGATGACTAATACAGTAAATAGGACCTTCCCATCTCCAGTTTTATATCTGATTATATAAACTGAATACCATGGTTGCCTTTTATAAAGTAACTAAAAGAACATCAGGGAATTTTATATCTAGTTTGTAAACTAAATGCACAGGAAGAAATATCATTTAGTACCTAGTTGTTATAACAAATATTACTTGTTTGGTAAATTCTGGGTGGAGCTCATTAAGGTTCTTTAGCACTAAGTATTTCCACACATTTAGCTCTTTTAAGACAGGTAATAAACACTCTTGTAGACAGAGTGGGTTGGGTAGAGAAAGCCACTTGTCCTATAAGTGATGAAATAGTAAGATTTTAAAACCATCTTATCTAACCCATTTACATCATCATCTTATCACATCTTTCTGCCCTGAAAGCCCACACAGATTCACTTCTTAAGCAATTTTTGTTCATTCAAACATAAAAAGGCATAGGCTTGTCCAAAACGGAAAGCTGGAAAATTCTTTATGTAAAAAACACAAAGAATAGACCAATAAAGTCTTCAGTCTAACTATGAGGTTCCTTTTTTCTGAACTGAGTAATAGTGTTAAGGGAGATGTTGAAAGGGTGGTCCTTTGTTTTAAAGCACTTTAGTGGTAGGTATTCTACAGCTAGAAAGTGGGATTTCTTCCAGGTTTAGAAAAGCACATCTCATTTGCTGATTGCATTTATTTGTTGATGGCAATACTTGCTCCAAAGGAACCTACCCCCAATCCGATTTTGATAATGGAAATAATCCCATAAGCTTTGAGAAGCTTTAGAGTTCAAAATGCTCAGATACTGAATATGAACTCAGTGGGGAAATGGGGTCATGGTTACTGGGTGAACCTTTAGGTGACAGGCCTGCCTTCCTACCCCCATTTTGGGTGGAACCCAGGGGCCCAACTACTCAGACTGGATCTCTGGGCTACACCTGATTACCAACCATATTATAACATATGTTTTGGTACATGTACGAGTTTCCCTGAAGGAGGTTATGAGAGGATAAGTTTGCAGTGATACAGAAACAAAACAAAGCATTATTTATTAATCTCTCAAAAGGTACAAAGCACAAATAGCTGGGGGAAGCAAACGGCATCTGCCCATAGCATCTATGTCTGTCTCCCTGTGTGACTTTTTCTTCCGGTCAGCTTTTCATTGACACAGTGGAGAGCATCTCCCAGCTCACCCCAAATCCTTCCCTTTCCCAGGATCTTTGAGAGTTTAGAATTCCTTTTGATCCCAGACAGCCTTGGGCAGAGTAAAACTAGCCTGGATGGAGTCAGTTTCTTCCCCTTCAGTGGCCCAGCCACTGTTATCTGAATGGAAGATGTGTACTGGAGGTTGCCTGAAGCTTGCCTATGAATGTCCTTATTTACAGCCTCCTTTGATTTAAATACATAGCCAAGTAACCCTTCATAACCAAACAGAGATCTGCAAAATATTTATTAAAAAACCTCAGGAATTTCCTGGTTTGTCACAAATGGGTCCTTATTTTGAAGGCACTGGTTGAAACCTGTAGGCAATGGCTCTCATTTGAAGACAGACCTAAAACAAACTGATTGCTTTGAGTATATTAGCCAGTTCAAAAGTAAAGTGGTTTAACATGGGAATACTAGATGGGTTTTGAGAATATGCAGCCACACTAAACTCACTGCTGAGCTGCTTGCAGCACCAAGTCTTCTATAATGATGATCATCAGATAACTGTCTAAGGGGCAGTTAAGCTCCTTAGAAGAGGCAGAGGTCACTTAACACACTGAAAGGGTCAATTAGTTTATGTTGCTACCTAATTATTACAAGGAACTCCAGGAAAGCAGCAGTGTTTGCCTGCTTTTCTAGGGCCTTGGCTACACTTGCATATGTACAGTGCTGTGAGTTAAACCTGACTCTGTGCAGCTGAGTAGGGAAAGCGCTGCAGTCTGTCCACACTGACAGCTGCCCAGCGCACTATCGTGGCCACATTTGCAGCATTTGCTGCAGCATTGGGAGCGGTGCATTAGGGGCAGCTATCCCACAGAGCACCTCTTCCCATTCTGGCGCCGTGGGTTGTGGGAGGGGGGCGTGGGTGCGGGGCATTCTGGGTCCTGTCCCAACCCCCTGTGATGCATTGCTTTGCATCCCAGAAATCCCTTTGTTTCTGTCCACCTTTGGCGCCATCTTTCAACGGTTTCTGTGTAGCGCGATCTGTTGTCTGTGGGAAACGGAGCCAGAACTGCTGAGGCGTATGCTGACTTATCTTGCCAGCACGTCACGTTTGGCTGTCGAACTATTCCTTAAGATCCAAAGTGACAGTGAGAGTGAGGAGTCCGACGATGCTATCGAGCCGCGTAATGCGTACGACACGAAATTGCTTGTGGCATTCACGGACATGCTCAGCACTGTGGAACGCCGCTTTTGGGCTTCGGAAACAAGCACCGAGTGGTGGGATCACATCGTCATGGAAGTCTGGGATGACGAGCAGTGGCTGCAGAACTTTCGGATGAGAAAAGCCACTTTCATGGGACTGTATGAGGAGCTCGCCCCCACCCTGCGGCGCAAGGACACGAGATTGAGAGCTACCCTGCCAGTGGAGAAGCGGGTGGCTATTGCAATCTGGAAGCTGGCAACTCCAGACAGTTACCGGTCGGTCGCAAACCAGTTTGGAGTGGGAAAGTCGACCGTTGGGATCGTATTGATGCAAGTTTGCAGGGTCATTAATCGCATCCTACTCAGAAGAACCGTGACTCTGGGTAACATGCAGGAAATAGTGGATGGCTTTGCACAAATGGGGTTCCCTAACTGTGGAGGGGCGATAGATGGGACGCACATTCCTATTCTGGCACCACTCCACCTAGGATCCGAGTACATTAATCGGAAGGGGTATTTCT